AAAAAATCAAAGATTTCCTCACATGTCCATTTGTAACTCTGGAAGCATCAAATTCCAACATCAAATAACTAAACATAAGTTCCAACAAGGATTAAGTAACAGGGCAGTTAAAGAATCCACAAGACCATATGGGAAGAAAGGCCATAAAATTTAAAACAAGCATGCATATGTATTAGTCACAACCTTGGCCATAAGATGACCAACCGGACTGTTGAACTCAGGGAAAACATGTTGCACTAACATACGCTCCAATTCAGCCTTGTAAGGATCAGTTTGTTTCAGTTTATCACAAAGAGCTCCAATAGCAAGCAATGCACCATCCTTTTGACGATAAGGCTTATATTCCACAGGAGCTTCATCATACCTAAAACAAAAAAATAAATATGAGAATGGCAAACAAATAGAACCACCATTACATCCCAAAACTCGTAAATGCTACTTCCTATAGACCTTGGTGGTTAGTATACCTCTTAAAAATCTCCACAATGAAGTGAATAAACTTTGGAAGATTTTCTTTTCCACGTTTCCGAACAAGCTCACTAACAAAGTCCATGGAAGCAGTTCTTGGACTGTATAAATCTTCAATTATATCTGCAACATGGAAATCATATGCATAAATCATGCTGGCACATCGAAGATCCTTGAAGCAATCAAGAAGCATCTAGAAAACCTACCGTAACCCTTCCTTACATACTCATGTGGATCTTCATCCCAAAGCTTTTGATCGTTATCATTAAAGCACATTAGAGGAAAAACTATCTCAAAGAGAAGAACATCCAGTCGAGGTTGCAGCAAATTATACATGCTATTCTTTGAGATACTGCACAAAAATAATAATTAGGGGATAAATTTTCTCCTCAGAAGTCAGATAAGTATATGCATATTAGAGCACAAATGTAAGAACGATTCCCATTACAGTAAGAAAGAGGACTATTTTCTTACAATGATAAATTTTCTTCTAAGTAGCATTCTTTCTTAAAATCTATCCATCATATTCATAATATAAGCGCAATTACTTTCTATTGAAAAAAACAAAAGCAACAAATGGACGTGTTCTTAAAGTATCTAATAACAAGGCACCAACGGAATGCCACCATTTACAAGATAGGAATTTTACAACACAATCACAATGTCATAACTCCACTAAGTTCTCAGCAGAAGAAAGAGGATGACTGACAAATAAAAACTAAAAGATCTGGAACTTTAAATCTCTAACTCCACCAGCTCAAAAAATAATACTTTTGTTTATAGAAAGAGAAATATTATTTGGAATAGGATAGATCAAATGCATAAAAGACAAAACAGTAAAAACTGCCAATGGCAACAAAATGATCACTTCCCAATTCAAATGAGGCTCGGAAATTGCTAAATAACGATACTTTAAATGAGCTTTGGCCGACAAGGTCGCAAAAAACGTTACCTTTTCCTACAGCTCATGAAACAACAACTAATGGTCTTGAAAAATCTTGCGATTCCTCTCAAGTCATACATCACAAGCCACTAAAAAAAGCCCCAAACAAAAGTGTTCACCACCTTCCTAACACTTTCTCCACAAAAACACAATCTCATAAAGCTTTCAACCATAGAAGCCCCTAATATTAAATCAAAATGGCTACCAGGCTTTGTTAGGCCCGGACTTGAAGCATCTTATTAGTGTTGAGCCTTCGATAAATGATTGTCCAACCAAAACACCCTTACCTATGAGGGAACCTAAATCTTCCAAAAGTTTTCTTAGCAACAAATGTATTGGCCCATAGGTCCCAGTGACAAAGTTCTCGTATCTAGCTTAGCATTTAGGAGAATCTGCTCTAATAGGCTTAGGAGGTTGAGCATGTCATGAGTCTTCCTATCAGATAAGTTAAGACGAAAATGAAGCTCCAAGCTCCCCCTCCCTTTATGTTGAATGTAAAACCTAAGACAGGAGCTTTTTGTATAGATGATAGGTTGTACAGTCGTGGGAACTAGCTAGCCAAAGGTTGATCCCCAATCCATATATCCCCCCAAAACAGCACTTTACAACCATCTCTTCGTTTTAGGTGGGTAAATGGAACAAATAATGGATGTGCGTGGGAGATGGCTTTCTACGGTCTCCTGTGAGAAATGGATCCTCTTCCTAAAATATTTAATCCATCTCTACGACCCCTATAAATCCTATTGACCACTATGTGCTACAAAGAGATTAGCTCATGTGAGAAGCACCAAAGTCTTCTAGCCAATAAAGATGAATTTTTTTATCTACAGTTCTTAATACCCAACTCCCTTGAGGAAAAACAATACCCTCAAAACCCCTTTGTTGCTTTACTTCCAAATAACTACAAAATAACTAGGGATAAAACAAATACTTTTTTGTCCTCCTATCTCCCAAATACACCCGCTAGTGATCCTATTGTTATCCACTATAAGTTAAATCCAAAAAGGAAAATAGCCATACACCATAGATACATTTACAAATAAACCATGAAGTAGTTAAGGGAAAACAAGAAATAAGTCTTTTCCTCTTGTAACCCAAATATCTTCCCAAGTACAAAGCTATTGCCACTCTTCCTATTGTCACCAACTAAACATTAAACCAAAAGGTCATGCACCACAGATAATTAGGAGTACCATAATTTTAAATCAAATAACTTTTCTAATAGAGTAATGAAAACATGAGTTTTAACCAATAAAATTGAGAATCATAAAATTTAAGTTATTTTCTTCTTCATTTATAGTACACGAAAATTTTGGTACTTTCAAATTTTTTATGGTTTCCTTTTCTTCTATTCTTTAAAAAAAAAATGAGTACAACTTCCTCAATATGGTCTATGTTGTTCAACTTCCTCAATATGCAATTGGCGATAGTTGGTTCTGTTGTCTATGAATTATGGGCTTGCATGGCATCACGAGATAGAAAAGGAAAAAGAAAGTTATTTCTCCCATCTTTTTAGCTACTTTATAGATCATTTGGAACGATAGAAACAGAGGAGCAATCTCTTTCGTTTAGGATATGATATTTAGTTCAGTACCCTATTGTTGTCCAAGGGTCACCTGTTCATCTGAAAAAAGATTTAGGGACTTAATTTTGTCATCAAGGCCTCTTATAAATATCACATTTTTATTTTTGCATATGAGTTAAACCTTTGCTCTTTATTGTCATTTTCATTCTATATTTTCGGGAGAAAAAAAACTAAATTTTATAGTCTCCCTTAAAAGAGTAAATACATTTGCAATCTAAACCTCCATCTTCATACACAAGTGAGACCCCCTTAGTTTCTTGTGAAATTATCTCTTTTTTTCTTAACAAAATCAAATATCTTCCCAACAAACAACCCAATTATACTACAAAGAAAACTATGCAGCTGAAAAAAAAAGATAGAAAAGGATATATTATGAGTGACTACATTGCACACCTGTTACTTAGATATTGAAGGATAAGGTTGGTAACTCTATCGGGTAAATAGCCTCCAACACGAATGATATTCAACAAATTTAAGTGGCACTCTAAAATCTTCCCAGCATAATTCTTCTGAAACATTTGGGCAAAAGCTCTATTCTCTGGATTTTGAAGTTTCAAATCTCCAAACCTATCATGTAAATGAGAAATAAAAAAACATTTAAGCCCATGAGCCAAAGCCTGTAATAGTCAAAATTATTCCATTTTACGAGACTTACCTAGTATATAGCCTATTTAGAATGTGAACAGTCCATTTCTTGACCTTCCACCAACCCCATGATTTCCTTAGCTCAGGGTCTGCAGGTTGGCCTTCTAAGGGAACAGGCCTCTCTAAAACATTTAAGAAAAGAATCATCCAAGCATTGAACACATTTTGATCAAATAACTGCTTTGGAAGCTCCAACTGAAAAGCACAAACAAGAACCCAACCAAAATAAAATGAATCAAATTACTTCAAAACTGATAAAATGTCAAAAGCTAAGATGTGTAAATTACTGTATCAGAATGTTCCAAACTTCAAAGTAAAATTTTTGCATTCATGGAGAATAATATATCAAACTAAAATACCTTTATCTCAAAAAGTATATATATATCAAACTAAAATGAATCAAACTACAGACTGATGCATGAACTAGTGTTCGCACTATTGCTCAGATGGGGCAAAATATTAAGCTTTCATATCTTCACTATTGACATCTTTCAACAAGTGTTACAGATAATTGAGTTTCAAAATAAATAAATAAAACAAAAAAAAAGAATTTCAATGGTCATATTTCTTTAATCAACATTTACTTTTTGCAGAAATGCAACCAAAAAAAAATGAAATAGGAAATTGCCTTCAAGACTGAATGAGAATAAACATTTTTTTGAGATAAATGAATGAGAATAGACCATAGCATGGGCAATATCAGGTTCTCTAAACAAATCCAAGACTATAGAGAACCCGAAGAAAAGGATAACAAAAGATTGTTGGAATTAGCAAAAGTCTACCCGTTAACCCCTGTGACTTACATAAATGGAAGACCAGAATATTTTACAAATAAGCTTGATCAAATCTGCTATATCCAAGGAAGGGTCCACTATTTGGACAAGCCTGCTAAATATATTTAAAAGGTGAGGAAATGTCTCCTCAACAATTCGATAAACTGGAGTCCTTTCGTCATCTGATTTAAACCTATAAAACAGTTAAAGAGTTTATTCAGTATATAAGAAACGAATTTCTGTAACAGAATTTTACAAAAGAAAAAATTAAAATCTAAATAGAGTTCATTGAAAACCAGAATGTCCATGGAGTATCAGACAAGATAGCTTCTTCTGAATGCCCAAATCAAAAATGAGATAACTGCACCCAGAAAAGCTACCACAGTACTTCCTCTGAAATACTGAGTCCACTTTCCTAGAATGCTGCCCAAAGCAAGCACAAGCTCACAAGTATACTAACGCATTCCTTCCTCGATGACTGGAGAGAATGCATGCACGCATATAACACATAAAATTAATGAAAAATTAAAGAACAAAAAGATTTTAAAAGAAAATATCATCATTTGGAATCTTCTCTAAATAAGACGAAAAGGAGAGAAAGAATACATCAAACTAGGGAAAATTAAAAATATTTTTAATCCAATTTGACATGCTCCAGTTTGGATGTGTCCGAGGCAGCAGTCCCTTAGGCTTCAAATTGAAACAAGTTTTGAAGTGGGACAAACAACAATATCCCATTCATAATTACACTAATGGAAGGAAGCTCCACCTTTCCAGCCTTCATAAGGGTCTTAAAAAAGTTCTTATTCTATGAAAAAATTAGTTTTCTTCATGTTAAGAATTTGCATGAGCATAAATCATCATAAAAAAAGCATAAAAAACCATAACATATTCATCGTATAGACAGTTTGAAGAAATAAACTTTGGGACAACTAACAATGGCAATGGAACATGTCCAAGGAAACATGCTCCTGCATATACAATTAAAGACAGAACAAAAACATGTGCTGTGCCAAGAACCTGCAGCAATCAATTCCAAAAGACTAGATCTTATTGCCAACACGTATTTTTGCTTTTCTCATAAGAAAAATATATTGACATATATATATGGACGATGCTAACAAGCTGTGTGTTGATAAAATGATAACAAATTCAAGAACTTTTTGGTTTCAAAACCATTGTCAGCATCAACCATAAATGTTATTAGGAACTAACTACCATAATGAATTCTTAAGTACTTATATGTAGGTGAAAACAAAGATACAACAAAGACTCAGCAGTTCACTTACTCATATTTTCTGGAAAGAATTCGCAATACAAACAAAGCTCCATAAACTTGCTGATCTTGTAAGTTGCTCTTCACCCAATCTAGAAGATGGGGCCACTGCTCAGGATAATCAGAATGAATAACTGTCTTGAGGCACTCACCCAGCTGCACCCTGCACATGCGATAATTTGATATGACCAAAGTTGAGATAAGAAGAGGCAGTTAACAAATACAGTAAATCTTCACACACCCAAAAATGTTCTCCAGATCTGAAAACAAAATACAAATGTAAGCTCCATAATTTTGCTTTTTGAGTTGCTTTTTTTTCTCAAACACGATCTTTATTTCCTTTTTCCAAAACTTTCAATTGGAAAAGACAACAACACTTGCTTCCAAGGCAAGCCAAAAAAAAACAGCTAATGAATTTTAATTGCTAACCTTATACACATAACTTACGAAAATATTACACTAACAAATTTCCTGGAATATAATAGAATCATATTGATTATATTCTTGTATATCCTCAAAGGTGCTGTTAACAAATATTTGTGATATACAACATCATCAACAATATCCTGTGGAAGATAATTCACCAAAGTATATTTGCTTTCAATAAGAAGTCCTCAATCAGAAAACTAAAAGAAACTCCTTTAGAAATAATTTTTTTCCTCAAAGCATTACTAAACAGAGTCCTAAGGAGGTATATCTATTTTCAAATCGCAACACATACCCATCCATAAACATCCACTGTGGTGCATGCCAGCATATACAGCACGGATCAACATAATTCAACCTCGATTCACACTATCTGGATTTTCTATGTAAACTTAACTGACTGACTCGCTCCAAACCAACTTCCCTTACAATGTTCAAACATATGAAGAGGTACACACAAGGGTGGAGTGGAATAACTGCCCTCAGTGAAATTTAAATTTAAATATAAACTGTAATGTATAAGTACTTATTTTTTCAATTAGTTTACTAATTTTTCACTATATAGAAAGAAAATGTTAGACATGCATGCATATTGCAATATATATCAGATAGGAGGTTATAAAGGATTAAAAGCTAGCTGTTACAATGCTTGGACAGCATAAAATTAGATGATTTTAGAGATAAGAGAGTGTGGAAACCTGATGTGGGGAAAGGTTTCTCTGTGAGGTCTATGTACATGGTTTTGTGTAAATGGGATAATTGCAGACATAGCGATAGTGCTCCCTTCAAACAGATATGGAAGAGTAAAGCTCCGCCTAGAGTGGCTTTTTTTACATGGGAAGCTACAAAGGAATGCATTTTAACGATTGATATACTTAAAAGAAAAGGAATCACGTTGGTCAACAGATGCTTCCTTTGCAAATCGGCTAAGGAAAGCTGCAATCACTTACTGTTGCGGTGTCTGAAGACCTACAATTTATGGACTTCTGTGTTTGGGCTGTTGGGGTTGAATTGGGTTATGGCTGAGAATGTGAGTAATGAATTGTGGGCTTGGACGGGTTTGTATAAAAAAAATTGGCATTTATTTCTAATTTCATTTACTATTTTTTGGGTTGTGCGGAAGGAAGGGAACGCGAGAGCGTTTGAGAACAATGAGACTAATTTTACATATGTTAGAGATAAATGGATACATACTTTTGGATCTATTTTACTTGGTCATGACATTAATGATGGAGAGGATCTGGGGATGGTCATGAACCATTTAATTGACTTGTAACTAGTTTATGTACTTGGGTGATACCCTATTGGTATCTTTGTAAATAATATCTTTTCTCTTTTATTTTAAAAAAAAAGATTAAAAACTAATGGCTTTTTCTAAGATTTTATTGGTTGAATTTACCACTGATAATAAAATTTATTAACCAATATATTATTTTTAGAGAAACTACTATTACTGCCTTTTAAAAATTTCCCTCAATAAATTTGCTTGTATAGTAGAAAATGTTTAGATCCTCCCTACTACACGTGCATAGGTAAATGAACAAAACATGTATAATTATAAACTCTGAAGCACTGACTCATTATTTGGCTACCAATTACAGCAAATATCAGTTTCTCTTCAACCATAACCAACAATACAATATCACAGCAGAAAAGCAATTAAGCGTTGCGTTTGGAAGTACATAAAAAAACTGTACCTCAACAAGGGGGGAACTTGGGCAACAAATACAAGAATGTGATCCCTCACCATGTCTTTATCACTCTGTGAGATCTTCTGCTGCTCACCTGCGTCATCAAATAGCAATAAATCATTAGCGTTAGATAAGAACAATAGCAAAAGAAGCTTTTCCGTATATGAATTCTGATGATCAGTAATACTTACCAGGATCATGCGGTGACCAGTTCTTGGCAATAAAGTTTTTGAAATGGATACTAGCAACTTGTCGCACTTCCATATCACAATTATTATCTACGATGATCTGCAATAGCCTAACCAGATGCTGTGGAGCATACTGAAACTGCACAACGTACAAGCAAAACGAAACAAAATAATCGATAGAGTGGATTAGTTCGATAAATACACAAAACCAATCCAGAAATACCAAGCAAGTTCCTTTTTTTATTTAACTATTTGTCCGCCTAAGTATCGATTCTAAATGATCAGCCAATTATAAGCGATAAAGTAACAGAATTCTGATGACGAATAACCATTGAGACCCTCAGGAAAGCTAGCAACAGAGTTTCGAGCAAACTTAACAATCAACTGATCTATCAACAAGATTAAAAAAAAAAAAAACTAATACGAAATCAAGCAACTTAGGACAAAAACTAAGAAGTCAACAAAGAAAATAAGATTAACCTGATTGAGACTTTGCTCGGCGGCTTTGCGTTCATCTGGATTGGGGCTTAGAGCTGCCCGGAGGATGACAGCGAGGCTAGGTAGATCCATATCCGGATCAAGGATCCAAAAACACGATTAAGACTTAAGAAACGGATAACTGGAGACGATCAGAGTCTACCTAAACCCTAGTTAGAGCTCAATTGAGCTAAGCGGTGCGTCTTCCTAGGGTTTAGAGAGAGAATGACAGCGAGAGAGAGGAGTGAAGGTTGCGGAGAAATGCAGCTAGAATTCAGAGGGTATTTAAAGTACTAGGGTTACAGTTGTTTTAACCGTATACTTTCATGGACTTAGGTAATCAGGTCCCGGGACTGTTTCCTCACGCGCGGTTCGAGAACCGTAAAATAGTGCCCGCACTGCCTTTCTTGCCCCCGACCAACTGATTCACCATAAAACGGCATCGTTTGGAGGCACTTTATTACCAATTTTGTTCTAACCATGTTTTTCTTTTGTTTTTCTGATGGATTTTTCTAACCATGTTTGGATACGCATGATTGTCCACCTCGTTTAGAATAACACATTTAGAATAGCAATCTATATTCTCCCACTAGAACAATGACTTTCACTCTCCCTAATCATCACGAGAGATTATGTTCGAAATAGTTTTCACGAAATTTAAACATAATTCGATCGCAAATAATTAAAATTTAATTCATGTTAAATCCAAAGTAATTTTATAAAAAATACATTTTATTTACACTGTCTAAATTTTAAATTAAACAAAGTTTGCCTCCTTTTATCTGGTACGTTCCGCGTTTTATCTTTTTTCTTTCAGTCAAATGCACAAAATAACTTAAAATGAAACCTTAAACAACATGTTTTATATATATTACACAATGTATATATTTGTGATGTTTGAGTATACAATATTTTTATTGTATATAAAAATTTAAATCGAGTTCATACAACTTTTTGTCTTCAAACTCGAACCTGTTTTACTTTTGTTTTACACAAATTTAAAATTGTCATATTAATATATATGTCGAATTGGTTTTCGTTAAATTTTGAAAATAATGTGTATGGCAGTTTGATTATCACGAGTTATAAATTTATTTATTATTCCTAATTCTCACTATAATTTATATAGAATAATAATTTTTTAATTTTTAAA